GCTCTTCATCGGTTTCGCTTGGATCTCTTCACACTTGACTCCAGTTCACAAGTATGGCTATATCAAGGTTTTAATCCTACCACGTCAATATCTTATCCCTCCACGTAGTTCCAATCCCGGTCCACGTCATCTCGTAATCTCGCCAACTGGAGTAGTGTACTAAAACTGATGAAAAGTATAACATAATAGGTCATTTTTTATGAGGGACAAGTTAGTGGACCAAAAGTGGACATTGAACAAGTTAGAGTACCAAAATTGAATTTTTGCCAATAAATGTGAGTGCAAAAGTTCTTCTAAGACGGAGTTTTACCGTTAAGTCGAAAGAGATATTCTGGCAATAATAATGAACCATCATTTGAAAATCAATTAATTTCTAAAATGAATTATTTCGATAGATTCGTATAATTTAATTACTTATAGTTTTCATAGCTAATTCAAGAATCAATTATGTTGTAATAGACTTCCCAAATTGTGCTTGTTTGACAAATCATGCACTCTGTAAAATTTTGAATAACAAAGAAAAATATACATTTAATAAGATGGTTGTATTTGGAGTTTTATTGAAATATTGAAACTTAATTAATATATATATATATATATATACATATAATTATACCTAAACATTTAATAAAACCTATTTAATTTTACCTACTAGTATAACGCTCGTGTATTACACGAGTGTTTATTAAAATTTCTTTTTAAAATTTAAAATTAATGAGAAAAAGTAGTTGAAAACTGTATATATTTTAGTATGACACATGCTACTTGTGCGACTTACATGTGTTATATTATAATAATTTTTCTAATTATAACATATAACTGCATTAAACATGAATATATTAATTGAGAAATAGTTTTATTGTTTAATTAATTTTAATAAATATTTTTTTATTGTTGTAAAGATAAGTGTAATTTATTTATTTTATATATACAATATGAATGTCAAATCGAAACTTATCAAAAGATGATTAACTTGATACATTATATATATAAAACCGAGAAGAAATACAAAAGTTATCAACTTTTAAAATACATTTACAATTCAATAGTTATAATATAAAATGATATTAAAATACAATTAATACATCTAAAATGATCATAAATAAATCAACATATTTATGGTAATCCGAACCTAATTAGTTTTGGATTGGAATTAATTAAAATCTATCCAAGCCAAATAACAAAGCATAAATTTTTGACAATTAGGATTTCGAAGCATGCGAGTCTGCCACTTAGACTCAACACATTCGAAAATTATATATAAGGGATGTGGCAATTTAAATTTTTCCCTCCAAAAACTGTTACTTTTGATTTATTTAACCTTTCATTTAATTATTAGATAATCAACACACTAATCACTTCAAAATTACAAAAATTATTTTAAAATTTTGATTACTGAATGTTAACCATATAATGTGTTGACTGTATAACGTGATTAGATGTTATTATTGTAGTTACATTTAAATTAATTTTTCTTGGGAAACAAAAAACACATTTGAAATTCGTAAACAAATAATAAATAATTCATACAAAAAAAAAAGTACATACCAAAATATACATTATATCCAATTTAATAAACGTAACTTAAAAAATAAATATTTCAATTCCTTTAATTATAAATTTGGACGGCAAAAATGTGAAAGAAAAATCATTAATCATTATGTGCATAAAAATAATTTACAATACTTTATTTACATATGTACAAATGCACATGGTCGAATACTAATATAAATTAATCGACGTACTCAACTAACTAGGTACTATAATAATAATTATATATAAAATGTGTACTATGAAATTAGCGAATCTCCTATACGACGCATATATATAATTTGTTATGTTTGAATTACATAGCAAAATCGTTTTCCCACAATATGCTAACGGATTACGCAATAATTTCGAAGATTTGTAATAATTGACAAGATTTGATGCATGGAGAAGTGATATTTTTTACCCCACAAATATAATCTATCTATTATCTATATATCTAATCTATCATATAATAGCACTGTTCTAAAAATCGTCCAGGCGGCGCCTAGGCGCTAAGCGGTGCCCGGGCGCCTCCAATTTACACAAATCGGTCAGGCTGCTAGGCAGCCTTGGCGGGCTCGGCGGCCAGGCGGTTAAGCGGCACCTAGGCGGACATAGGCGCTCCTAGGCGGGCTCGGCGGCAAGTTTTCAGTTTTTTTTATTTTTTTTTAACTATTAATTACATTATTTGGTTCACTGTTTTCTTTAAAATATATTATTTTGACTATTTGGACTTAGGTGTGTCGATTAATTATAAGTTGAGATAATTTTATTTTGTAGGTAGTTAAAATAAATAAAAATAAGGTATTTAATAATAATTTCTAGGCCCCGCCTAGGTGCTAGCGCCTAGCGGGCGCCTACGACTTTTAGAACACTGTATAATAGTCATTTATTATTTTATTATAAAAAATTTGTTGTCAAATAATATCATTCATTCCTATATATTAATTTAATATATGTTGAGCCTAAGTGGCAGACTCAGACGCTTCGGATGCTGATATGGCAAAAATCTATGTTTCGAAATGTTGTTTGTATATTATTTTTTTTTTTTTTGGAATTAGGCTTGGTATAGACATGTTTTCAAACTTAGTAAGTGTACATTTAATTTTGTTATTTTTTTTTCTCCTAGTACAAACTAGTACGTACCGCGTGCGATGCACGAGACATAGATATTAAATGAGTTATTTTCACAACCTTGTCCGTTTAAGTCTAAAAAGTAATAGGGTTATTATCTATTTTCTACATATTTTATCAACGTTAAGTCTAAAGAACAATATGGTTATAAACTTTTATTTTCACAGCCTTGCCGTTTAAGTCTGAAATGTAATAGGGTTATTATCTATTTTCAACATATTTTATCAACGTTAAGTCTAAAAAAACAATAGGGTTATAAACTTTTTTCCACATCTGACAGAGATATTAAATGGGTTATTCTCACAGTATTATCCGTTTAAGTCTAAAAAGTAATAGGATTTTTCTATTTTCTACCTCTTTTATTCAACGTTAAGTCTAAAAAATAATTGGGTTACAAGTTTTTTTCAAATTTTTTAACCAGCGTTGTCTTTTTAGCCATAACATTAAATATGAACATATTAGGGCTAGCTTGTAAAATAATTAATATATTATCTCACTAAAATATTTATACTAATAAAAAATTAATTTTAGCATATAAATTTATCTGGAAAATTATATTTAAAGCCACCTAATAATGCCATGTTGGATATTACAATTAAAATTATTAAAGCCACCTCATGTGACACATAAGATTGTGGCATGGCTTATGGTGCCCTGATGGGCACCATAGAATTTCTGATTTTTTTGCTACTAATTTTAATAAATAGGATGACTCTTTACATAAGTATTGATAAAAAATGAATTATATAAGAAATTTTGAATCTGCGTTTTTTTTGGTATAGTAGACTTATGTAGTATTTTTGACTTCACCGATTTTATAAGATTTTTTTGACTAAATCGAAGTTTTTATGGAATAAGACAAATAAATAAAGCTATTTTTTATTTTAGTAAAGATTTTACGTATTTTTTTTTTTACTTATCGGATGTTGTGAAATTTTTTTCTTAAACTGATTTTATGGGATATAAGACAAATAAATTAAATAATTAAATAAAATTATGGATAGAAATAGGAATGCATTAATTATGTTGACTTTTTACCTACTTAATTTGGTAAATATGATACCTTATTATATAAGTATAGATTTCCTTCTTAATTTGGACAAGTAGCAATCTTAACATCTTATATTTTTCTCCTATATTTCTCACCTAAATTACGATTTACAAATCAATTTATTAATTATTCCATCAAAATTTTTAAATAAAATTTTTACTTTAGCAATAACGTTTATAATATACTTTTTAACTCCATACCCGTGTAGCACACGGGTATTGTACTAGTTATTATTATTTATAAAAGTTGTAGAAGTAATCTTCTTTTTATTAATTTATGTAATGAAATTTAAAATTAAATGGTGTGTATAAATGTTTACAAACACCTTGCGGCTAAAAAATATTAGATCTATTTTGGGATTAAATATGTGTAATTGATACATAATGTCATTATATTGTTTAGCCACAATAAGTGATCAAATTATTGAACATTGGCGAAAGAACTTAATTTAGATTGTGAAATAAATAAATGTGGACACCCGGTAATATAATTATTTGGTAAAGTAACAAAGAATAATATTAAACTTAAAGACATAAATAACAAATAATTTAGGTCAAAATTATTTATGAGTGGAGTCCTTAAAGTCGTAAAAAAATAAAAGAGGCATTTATAAAATATTGTTTATCTTTCTTCAATCATGAATTTGTATGAAAGAAAGTTAACAATCAATTATTGAGCCCAACAATTGTCTATAACTATAAGACAACTGGTTTTTCTTCCATACGTCAAGGAGAAAAAAAAAATAAAAGAACATAGGGAAAAATTCACGGTCTATTGAAAGATATTCAAATTTCAAAATTCAAATTCAAGTTATAGCAAACTCAATCAATATGAATTCATCAGGAACGCTTTCGCTGTTCGGTTATGATTCTCGATTATTCGATATGAACGCTCTTGGTATTAATCGATTTATTTCAAATAAAGTTAAAAAAAAAAAAAACAGTGTTCTAGAAGTCGCTAGGCGCTCGCTAGGCGCCCGACCAGCGCCTAGCGCCTAGAGCGCCTAGTCGGGGCCTAGGCGGCGCCTAGGCGGAGCCTAGAAATTATAATAAATATATTATTTTTTATTTATTTTTACAATTTCACTAATAAAATTATAACTTATAATTAATAAATCCATACACCTAAGTCCCAATAATATTATTAATAGGGTAAATTGCAGTTTTGATACCCAAACTAAAGTTCATTTCAGAATCAGTACCCGTTTTTTAACATTTGCAAAATCAATACCCAAATTTTCATTCTGTTAGCAACGTTAGTACCCGGTCGTTAGATCTCCGTTAAATTTCCGTTAGTTGTTAACGGAAGTAGGCAAAATGGAGGAAATTTATCTGTTTTTTTGGCTCATGATGAAATCTATATACATAAGACATTTTTACCATTTTTTTTTTCAAAACAAATGCAGCCTCCACTATTTATAAGAATTTTTTTGGATAAAATCGATTTAATTTTTGAAAAAAAATATAATAAATCGAGAAAAATGAGAAGACATAGTTTCTCTTCTAGTTCAAGCAGTATATATTTTGGAATAATAATTTTCCAATAACAAAAATACAAATTTCCTTCTATTTTGCCTACTTCCGTTAACAACTAACGAAAATTTAACGGAGATCTAACGGCCGGGTACTAACGTTGTTAAC